AAATTTGTTGACTCGATTATACAACTAGATCTCAATAACAATACCTTACGACTATGGGTCAAATTCATAATCAAACTCAAATAAAATTTATTTACTCGATTATACAACTAGATCTCAATAATAATGTCTTACGACTAGGGGTGTGCAACCTGATATTAAATGTCATATGTAGGGGTGAAAATGTTTATGGTTTTGTTTCTAAAAATAATCAATCATGCACACCCCTTCATATAACAATACGAGTATTAAATCGAATGGCTTGATCTATAAAAAGTTTTAAAGATTAAACGACACAAAATTGTTAAATATTTTAAAATAAGCTGATTTTTTATATTTATTAAAAAAAATTGAACAGATATAAAGATATGCTTAATGAGATTTTTATTATTTTTCTCTTTTTTTAAATTTTATTAGTTCATTTTTAAATTTTTTTTGAAAAAATAATACTTATTTTTATTGATTTAAATGATAAAATGAATTCTATTTTGTTAAATTGCATGCATAAGAAAGAACTTTTTCAATCTCTTAACCTTTCTATTTCATTGAAAACTTGACATGGATAAATTCTCTCAGTATCTTTAAAGACAGTGCTCATATTGATCTCTTGACTTTCACATAGCAAATTCTAAAAAAAGAAACACATATTTAATGGACTCCTTAACAACACCAACATGTTTGGATAAAATTAGAGAAAGGGTTGAAATGCAGTGGTTTAATGAAGCAGCATGCAACCTGTTTTGAATTGGAAATTAGAGTTTATATTTTTAAAGGTTTTTTTAACCGGTCTTAAAAAGTTCGTTATTCACTAAGACTAATTTATATGGATTGTGGGTAGTCTATTATGCTCGTATAATTATAAATTTTTAAAAATTATAGTAATTTTTATATTGTATTACTTTAAAATAATACATTAATTTTTCTCACTTCACTAAATTTATTTTTATTCTATTCAATTTTTTTCTTTTAAATATTATATATTAATCTAATCAACATTTTTTCCGTATATTATATTTATTTCTTTTATGTTAAATATTTGAGTATTATTTTTTATAATTTAGACATGTATTATATTTAAAAATATATTATAATATTTATAAAAGATAATATAATACTTAAAAATATATTATATTTAAAATAATACAATTTTTAATTTTATTTATTATAAATTTTTTATTTTATTTTTTTATTAAAAAATCTATTTAAAGTCTTGTAGTCCGAATTCCATTAAAGACCGAAACCATATAATAATTTTGAAACACATATTATAATAAAAAAATTTTAATCCAACTCTAAAAAACTCAGACTCATTCGAAATCGGATAACCTATTTGAACAGTTCTACCTAATCGTATACATTTCAATAGAACCGTTGCCATTAAACTTTAATTTAAATATTCATTTACACAAAAAATAACTTTTTATTTGGGGATAAGGGTGTTGATGTTCAAATATTATTTTTTAATTAAAGAATCCGACTTAATTTATGGTTTGTTTCCGGTGAAGGTTTTAAATAACATTAAAGAATGTTTTGATTTGGCTAATCACCACTATAATAAGAATAAAAAACTCATTATCCAAAAGATAAAAAAAAACTCAAATTTAAAAAGTTATATATTTTACATTCTTTCAATATTCATTCATCTTCGTCAATATTGTTCTTCAAAACTTAAATTTGAAAAAAAAACATGTTATTTCAATATTCATTCACTCATCTTTATCAATATTTTTTTCTTAAAATTCAATATAAAAAAACACAACAACAAAAAAAATTAAATTTGAATAAATAAAACTAGTATTCATTCATTTTAATCCATGTTCTTTTTAAAAATCTAAATTTATAAAATAAAATAAAAATTAAAATTTGGAAAAGAATCTTCTTTTAATAATCATTCATTATCATCAATTTTTTTTTAAATCCAGATTTTTAAAGCACAAAAGAAAATTCAAAATTTAAAAAGTATTAAAAAAAAAAACTAAGATATAAAAAGTATAACAATAAGAAAAATTCATATTTGATCTGGTGTATAGATGAGTAGGACAAAAACATAAATGTATATATTTGACCAGAAATTTTCTGTTGATAGAATTAAGAATAAGAGGTTTTATTATGGGACAGACTACTCCTCTCAAAGTCGTTTCAAGTAAAATGAGAAAACATGAGAAACTATATTCTGACAATCAACATGTTTTTGTATTATAGTATTTTTGATTTTCTAGCACGGGAAACAATGAATCTTTTACATAGAGTGCAAAAATTCAAGCATTACAATATTGTGTTACTTAGAACAATGAATATAATTTTTAAGATAATTGATTTTGCCATCTAAAAAGGAGTAGCAATCTAATTTATTGTCCATTTACCTACTATTTATGTATACTTTATTACACCATCTGAACATATTTATAAGCAGTAATTTTTTTTATTTAAATTTATTGAATAATTGATGTATTTAATCATTATTATATATTAAATACATCAATTATTTAATAAATCTAAAAAAAATTATTATTTATAAATACGAGAATGTATAATCTAATGCCTTGAACGACATTTTGTATTCTACCGATGATTTGGCTAAATCCAATATTTAAATTATATAGAATATTTTAGTTTGGACGAAAAAATAACCATCTAATACACTATTAAATTGCTTTGGACAAATCCAATAATTTCTGGTATAATAAATTACCCAAATGATTTTATGTTTTTTCAATATTAAATTAATTAATAATAAATTATCATATTTTTTTAAAATTACTCAACATTTTTATTTTTTTAAAAAACTTGAACAATTTATTTTTATTATTTCCTTTAGCATCATAAAATAATAAATAATAATTATCATAAAATATTTTTGCATGACCTAAAATTGTATTAACATCAAAATAATCAAAAACTAAAACATTCAAAATTAGTTAAATCATAACTTATTAAAATAAATGTTCAACTAAAATTGTAATAATTAAGTCAAAATTCATCAAATTTATTAAAATATAATAAATTTTTTATACAATAATCATATTTTTCAAATTAATTACGCAAATAATTATATTTTTAAAATATTTATCTAAATAATCAGGTTTTAAATTGTAAGACAGTGTTGACACCACTCCAGATGACGCCTATGTGTTAAAATTAGGTAAACACACTATGAGAAATGACGCATATGTGCATCTGAAAAGTAATATGCCACCCATATACTTTGTCGTTAAAGACTTATTTAAAGTGACTAAAATTATTTACAGTTATTTAAGTTGTGCCTTAACACTATTATCTCTCATTTACAAGGCGCAAACCTTATTCGACGTATACAACAATGCTTTTAAAGTGATAGCAAAAGAGAATTATTGGTCTGCGTATGAAAGGGAAGTAGTTTGCCATAACGACAAAATGCAAAGAAAGAAGAAGGGTCACCCCAACATTATGCGTATTAGAACCGAAATAGATGAGACTGACTAAATGGAAAGAAAGGGTAGTATATGTCACAACCTAATAATTGTATGCACTTGTTGTAATATATTTTTTGAAATCAACTGAACTTTATTTATTCCTTAAACATATTTGTTACAACTAAACAAACGCAAACAACACTAAGCATGTTGGTTACAACAAACCGAACGCATGCAACGATTACAATTAGTTAAAAGTCAAAATATAAATTATAATTGTCAAATAAATTTCATCTGATTCATGCATCACCATAATTTTTAAATGTCTCCGCCTAATCATCGCCTCAACTCTCTCTAATCATATCACCTATTCAAATTTTCATTTTAATAGGGTGACACCATGTTTTTAAGACGCCCATAAATATGACTATTGCCCTATTGTATTAGTCGATAAGTGAGTTTTTTGGGCTGGGATCCAATTTTACTCGGAACCTATTTCTTAAATGTGTTTTTTAGTTTTTAATTCTTAAATGTGTTTTTTTTTAAATCCATATTCACCCAACCCATATACACCCTTCATGTTTGCAAGAACTCTTTAAACATTTATCCACCTTATCAATGTTCATAAAAACTCAAATTTGCAAATATATATTCGTTTCAATATTCATTAATCTTAATCAATGTTCTTTAAATTCTGATTTCAAAAAGCATAGTAAGAAAAAAAATTGGAATAATATCAAAAAGAAATAAATATATTGCATACTTAATAATGACAATGGATGAGTGCCCCGTGTCAACCGAATCTAGCTTGGTTAGTCTTTCCAACCAGAAACCATAAACCAGAAACCATAAACCAGAAACCAAAACCAAAACCATAAACCAGAAACCAGAAACCAGAAACCAGAAACCAGAGTCATACTCCTCCTCAAGTGTTGCAGCATATCAGCATATCAGATATTTAAAAAATAAACATAATGAAGGTCTCACAAAGAAGATAAAAATTCCATCTAAAGATACACTTATGATGTTACTATCAACCATTTGAAATAATATAATGCACACGTTAATTCGAATACTCTTTTGATAGTTAAAATTCAAAAGTCTCATTAAACTTGAGTAATCTGAAATAAAAGGCAAAAATTAAACTATACTGCAGGATGTATATTACTTGAATCGGGTATTTGGCCAAGTATTGTTATCAATGTTAAACATAAAAGAAAACATAATTAATTAGACTTTGAAGTAATCAACTGAAATGAGATTGATTGGGGAAATAAATAAATAATTAGAATAGCCAAAAATACTATTAAAGGATTTTTATAACACTTCAGATTATGTATAAATAAAAAATGATGAATTATGAGAGTAAATAGTTCAGGTCCATTTAAAACAAATCACAACAGCATGAAGGCAATAGTCACACCAGAAGTTTAGCAGAAAACAATAAAAAACATAGGCACAAGAACTGTATTAAAGCAGAAAACTGAATAAAATAAAAACTGCATTATGAATTCTTAAAGAGTGACACAATCATTAAATTACACAAACTCTAAGCAATGCATCATATCTGAAACAATACTATTGCACTTGCCAAAAGAAAATAACATACAATTAATCCTCTTCCTCTCCTTCGTTTTCTGCAATGTTGAAATACCTCAACTCATAGATATTCCTATCTTTGTTTGAAGCAATGACCCTTAGCCAATCTCTTACGTTATGTTTCTTCAAGTATTTCTTTGTCAAATACTTCAAGTAACTGCAAATGTTAAACAACACTATAAATCAACACAAGATAATGTTTCTAGTATAGTCCAAAATTGTTACTATAATTTCAATATAGAACAACTAAATTGGGCGGTAAATTCAAGAAAGTACTCATTATCCAACAAGATATCCTTCAACTAGTTTTGCAAACACAACATGAAAATCGCGGTGGCAACGAGAATTACCGCTTGGAGAAATTGCTGTCAGAGGTAACAGTGATCTTTGATTTCTCCCTGGAAACAGTAACAGAATCACCAAGAGCACCGGCTTTGCCACCGACCTTAATCCTCTCTTGAAGAAACTTCTCAAGTGAAGCAATGTCCATGATCTTGTCTTCAACTGGCTTAGCACAGTCAATGGTGAAGGTTGCACCCTTCTTCTTTCCCTTGGCACCAGCTGCACTAGCCCGACTCATTTTCCCTTTGTAAATCTCTGAATCACCATCACATCCAAAACAACACATAAACCTCAAAGTGTTATCACAATGTAGAGTTCATATAAAAATTCAACAAAGGATTCAAATTTCTGTCAATAAATATAATCTTACAAAACTATCAGATTCAAATTTCGGTCAATAAATCTAACCTTATAAAACGAGCAGATTCAAATATGAAATATAACAAGAAATTCGTAGAAACATGTTATAAAACTGAGCAAATTCACTGCTCTTGTTGAAGAAATAGATGCAAATGTAAACAGAGAAGAGGAGAGAAATAGGTTTACCGTTCAACCGGCGGCGAAGACTGCGAACGGATGCGAACGGAGATGAGAGCAGTTAGATAGATTCTATTAGGGTTTGTATTTGTTATGTATATGGTGGGTTTGGGATTGGGTCATTTATTGGGCTCACCTAGTATTTTTATATGGCTTCATTCTAATTTTACTATTTGCACTTCTCATTTTTTCATACACTCCCTATTTAAAGTAGAACTGATTAATGGTTATGACAATGATTGAAAAAGCATTTGATGTCTAAAGACTCTGGAGAGAGTTAGAGCCTTTCTCTGGCTTGGTCAAACAAGATAATCTTATCATCGAGCTTGGACTTAGTAAAATGAACTTGTCTAACTTTTAGTGTAAATATTGTCATGACTCTATTGAATCAATAATGCACGTCATTTGTGACTATGAAATTGCTAAAATTGTGTGGTGTTCTCTAGTTAGAGACACTAGTTAGGGAATTTTTTTGTTAAGCGTTGCAAAATTGAATCCATAAGAATTTTCACAATAGTTATGGGCATGGTAAGCAGAAAGAGTGGAAAGCCTTATGGGCCATTACTTGTCATTATATGTGGTACTGGGAAACAAAAGGGCACATGATGAACGGTTTGTGATGCTAGTTGATTTAGCTAGTGAGAAATAATTAGATTTAATCAATATAATTTCAGCCTCAGTCTTCAACCATGTGAGTCATACCCAGAAAGACGAGTGTTGCCCAAATTTATTGGAACCATCCCCGGTCTAATTAGTGTCTTCTTAGTGTAGATGAGACTAAGAAGCAAAGTGCATAGGGTTGCTTCGTAATAGTGTAGGGAGTTGGCTTTGAGGTTTTTCAAAGGATATTGGTCCATGTTATGCCATTGTAGCTAAACTATGAGGTATGCTCAAAGGGCTCAAATTCACGTTTGCTAAAGGATATCAAAGACTTGAGGTGCAGACGAATAACTTGTTTGTCACAAAAACAATTAATTCTCACGGACCAAGTCTTTGAGTGGACTGGGGACTGATCCAACAAATCAAGCATTAGATCAATAGATATTGGCAAATTCGCATCAATCATATGTATCGTGAAAAGAACCGTTGTGTAGACGCTATGACAAACTTGATTATGGGTCACAACCAGGGTTTGATGTTCTACAACGAATGTCCAACTGAAGTTCTAGTTTTTCTCCTCCACAATGTTTTAATGATTAACACTCGTAGAACCATTTTTGTTTAGTCTCATTATTTTGACTTAGGGCCCTACTTTCCTAAAAAAAATCATTTGTGTTACTCTTCTTAGATGAACAACAATGGAATTATCAATTAGTGTATTCTACATGTATAATAACAATAGTAACAATTATAATTTTGGGTAAGAAAATTGAAGGCTAAAAATTGAAAATCTAAATAATTAGAAAAGAAAAAACTATCTTTGAATTTTCCACATTTTTATGTGTAATTTCAATTTTAAAAAAAATGATGTGTACACTTATTGGTTGCAATCTATAAACTCTGAGCAAAGTTCAATTCATTTAATGAGATTTGATACTTCTCATAATTAGATAGTGCCTATACAATTAAAAATAAAGATTTATATTTATATTAGTATAATTATTTTTAGTCTATTATTTGAATTAGTCCATACATCCTGAATCAATAGTTAGAAAGTATGATCACTCTATTATGTTAAATTTTCCAATTTTACGATTAACTAAGTCATTTAAATTTTGATATATTGAACTTTGATATAAAAATGATCATGATATGGACACTTTTAGAAGAGTGGATAGAAAATAGACTCTTATATCGTATCTTGTGTCGTAATATTTTCCAATTAGCAATAAATGCATTATCTTATGCTTTAATTCTCATAATTCGGTGACCTTCTTTACACTAATTTTGGGTTAGATAAGATGACTTGACCTGATTCCATTTGCCTGCGCACCCTCGTACACTTGGGTGAGCTTTTCTGAGTTTATTATATAGTTTAACCCGCTCTTAGGGTGCGTATTCCTAATTGTGTTATCTAATGTGCCTAAATGTAATCAATCCTTAGCCTACCAAGAGATCAAACATTTATGTTGATCAAGTGACTTCAAATACTATAGGAGATGATAATTTGTAATATTCAATTTTCAAAGAAAATCTTTGTTTATAAAAACGTTTCTTATTAAAATATTTATTTTAGAAGAAATAAGAAAACATAGATAGAGAAGCGGAGAGATAGAAGACCGATAGATAAATATAAACGACAGAAAATAACGAGAGAAGGGATATTGTTCCTGAAGAACAATATTGATAATCTTTCTGGTGTTGGTCGAGAGAAATCACAGTTCTAAGTGTTTTACTGTTAAATTATCTCTCTTTTTCCTTTGTTGATGTCTCTCTTTTATAGTCCTCGTTGAGAGACAAGGATAGTCAACGCCATAAATTAGTATTCATGGTTATTGATTCGACCATTATCACATAGGATACATGTTCGAACATTCTCATAAATGTTCATGAATACATGTTTGATTGGTCGAATTGGTTGTTACTCTATGGCAATGAGTGAACATGTGAATTTGAGTAATTAGGCAATTAGTCAACCTAAGATACTTTTGCCTAATTATAGTTATAGTTTTTTTTTCTCTCTCGGTGAATCTCAACATTGATTTTCTTCTCTGAATTGGAAAATATTCATCTTGGTTCACTTTCATAATTTGTTGTTGCTAATAGTGCTTTCATATTTCTAAATTTTGGTTGTAGTTGTATTGTTACAATGAAGCTTTCTCAAATATTTATATTGTGCTCTGAGTTGCTATGAGTTTACTTGAATATTTTTATATATTTTAGAGTTGCAATCGCCATGATTTCTTCCTGCAACTAATACTAAAACATAATATAATTTAATGTTAGTTTTATTGTGCAACTCTTAGACACTGGAAATAAGGATGTGAAAATCTAAAATTTAGTTTGGAATGACACAACTAAGTATAGTTGGTCACAATCATTAACCGGTTGACAATCTGTTGCAGTGTCGAAATCAAGACAAATTCACTTTATTATTTTTCCAATGCCAATATAAAATCAAAGTGTATTATATGTACAAAATTAAAAATATTTTTTTGATTACTATTAACATTTTTATTCATTGTTTATGCTTTAGAATAACAAGTTTTTTATTTTCTATTAACTCATAAATGAAAATGCTAAATATGGATGTAAAAGAAAAGAATATATAAATCTTAACAAAGTTTTAGACACCGTTTGGTCAGCTAAATTTTAAATTTATAATTTATAATTTATAAATTCATATGATAATAAAAAATTTATTTGGTAACGATATTTTTATAACGAGTTTATAGTTTATTTTATTAATTTATAATTTATTTTTCAGACGATATTTCAAATAATATTTTAATTTATGATTTATTATTATTTTTTCTTTTTTATCTTTATTATTTTAACTGAATTTCACTTTTATTCTTTATAATTTATTTTATTATAAAATAAAAAATAATTATTGTATTATACTAGGCTCAATCCAATTTAATAAATAATTTAAATAAACCCAATTTATACAGTGAATTGAAGCTAAGTTATTGTGTGGTTGAAAGTAGGTTTCGGCAAGGTGGAACATAGCGGTGGTCAATCTCTCGCAGGTTTTTTTATTCTACTATTTTTTAACTATTGTTATTTCAGCATGTTAGAAGTGGGTTTCAAAAATTTTCAAAAATTTTCACGAATGCAATTATGTGATATTCCATCATATTTGATATATAGATTATTAGTGATATTTCCATATTTTATAATTTGTTGCTATTGAAAAATAGAGTTATGAATAGGCTCACCTAGAATTGGAGTTGTAAGATAAGAATTGCCATACTTGTGAAAATTTATGTTCGGTTGATTTCAACATGCACTTTGCATTTTAATATCTGTGATTAAAATAGACTGTATGCATCACAACTTAATAAATAATTTTCATATTATCATAATTACTCATCTCCATGCATTGTCCTTCACTAAATTAATCAATGATTTCACTACAATGATTTCACTACAAAATAAAATTAGATATAAACACATGTGAAGTCATTTAATTAGCCATTATATTTTTATGGGTTGAAATAATGATGGTGTATTCATCATGTGCATGGGGTGTTCATGAAAACAAGCATTCTTCATTATAATTGTTGTATGGTATCATAAGACTGACATGATTTTCATGCCCTGATCGAGGGCTGTGTACTTCTCCTTTCTGTCAGAGTGAGTGTCAATTTGGTCTGAGCGCTGCATAACCTTTTCACCTGCTTCGTGGAGGGATGGATTTGAATTTGTTGTCGAATTCACCGGTTTCCTCTGCTTTACAGGTAAAATGGCCGACACTCCCAAATCTTCCGAGCACATGGAGGTCAAAGAGACCAACATAGGCGAGGAGGGTGTCAACTTGGTTGACACGGTCGATAATCCTGCAGTGGCTTGGGTCGGGGCAGAGCCTCGACCTATAATTATAGTAGGAGGCAGGCTTACACTGTCGTCGAGTATGGCGACGATCGGGAAGGTTTTCAAAGGAACTTCAAGATCTTGCGACTGACGCCCACTGCTCGAATATGCTTGGAGTTCGAGGAAGGCCGCTCCCCCATGTACGAGGTCGTATTCAAAGATTTGGGGATTCACCTTCCCTTCAATTATTTCTAGGTGAAGGTGTTCAATCACTTGAACCTAGCACCCTCTCAGCTTCACCCCAACGCCATTGCCTTCATTCAGGCATTTGAGATTACTTGATGGTTCCCGAGGATCGAGCGACCATTCCCCTATTCTTCAGGGTTTTTCATCTACAACGGTAGTCCCGGGGTGGGAAATACAGTTGAGGCTCCCTCAAACAGTTGAAGAGGCTGTTTAGGATTTACATGGACTCTATCCGCGACTTCAAAGACATATGATATGTCGTGCAACCTACTACTCAAGCAGCCGTGAACTCCGTGTTCGACCCGACCTCCGTTGTGGATGAAAATGGTGAAGCGTGTTATGATGCAGAGGGTAACCCAGAGGTTGGGCGACTCTCAAAGTTTCTCATCCATTGGTGTTCGGGCCACTACGATCATAGTCCCGGGCATTATCATACTCCCGCCAGCGGCATGAGCGCTAAGGATGAAGAGGCCTATGGCGTCCTTAATCGTTTCGTTGACGGGTTCTTCCCCGCCAGGTGAGCCATGAGGGAAGGACATGACATCCTCGATAAAGATGGTGAGTCGACGTTCGAGGCGTGCCCGATCAACACCAAGGCGCTCGTCGAGTGTCGTTCTTATAAGCAAGCCGTGAATCTCTTAGGTTTCTGCTCGCTTGATTTTACTATATTTTTATTTCTTCACTTGACTTATTTTGTTTTCTCGACGAGGCTAACCTGAGGATACTGTTTTTATTTTTACAGGTAATATGGCGGAGCACCGCGAGAGATTGTTGAAACTGACCCAAGATAAAAAGAGCCATAAGAGGTTGGTGAAGCCGCACCAGGCTATACGCATGGGTTCAATATCCTAATCGGTCAAGGAGGGATCAAGTGGGTCGCCGGGCATCCGCGATACTGATCAGCAAGCTGTTGTTTTGAGCAAGAAAAGGAGTCGCCCCGAAGGTGGGGTCACTAATGTGACTGGGGGAGAGGCAACTTCCCGAGCCTTCTGCCTCCCGCCCTGTTTCGTGGAGAAGGATTTCTTCGAGGGCTTCCCTCTGAATGTGTCTGACAATGAGTCTGACATCATAAGGCGACTCAACGAAGAGGGTCGAAGGAAGCATCTGGATTCCAGTATGATCGGGATGATGAAGGTTACGGAAATGATCGTGGTCCTTGTGGGCGAAGGAGCCAACTCCTCTGGTCAGGTCAAGG